ATTTGTATGGTGTAGTGATATTTGTATGGTGTAGTGATATTTGTATGGTGTAGTGATATTTGTATGGTGTAGTAATATTTGTATGGTGTAGTAATATTTTTATGGTGTAGTGACATTTGTATGGTTGATATTTGTATGGCGTAGTGATATTGGTATGGTGTAGTAATATTTGTATGGTGTAGTAATATTTGTATGGTGTAGTAATATTTGTAGGGTATGATGTGATATTTGTATGGTGTAGTGATATTAGTAGGGTATGATTGATATGTATGGTGTAGTGATATTTGTATGGTGTAGTAATATTTGTATGGTGTAGTGGTTTGTATGTAGTGTGTATGGTGTAGTGATACTGTATGGTGTAGTAATATTTGTATGGTGTAGTAATACTTGTATGGTGTAGTAATTTTTGTAGGGTATGATGTGATATTTGTATGGTGTAGTAATATTTGTATGGTATATAGTAATATTTGTATGGTGTAGTGATATTTGTATGGTGTAGTAATATTTGTATGGTGTAGTAATATTTGTATGGTGTAGTGATATTTGTATGGTGTAGTAATATTTGTATGGTGTAGTAATATTTGTATGGTGTAGTGATATTTGTATGGTGTAGTAATATTTGTATGGTGTAGTAATATATGTAGGGTATGATGTGATATTTGTATGGTGTAGTGATATTTGTATGGTGTAGTGATATTTGTATGGTGTAGTAATATTTGTATGGTGTAGTAATATTTGTATGGTATATTTGTGGTGTTGTATATTTCTGGGGTATGATGTGATATTTGTATGGTGTAGTAATATTTGTATGGTGTAGTGATATTTGTATGGTGTAGTGATATTTGTATGGTGTAGTGATATTTGTATGGTGTAGTGATATTTGTATGGTGTAGTAATATTTGTATGGTGTAGTGATATTTGTATGGTGTAGTAATATTTGTATGGTGTAGTAATATTTGTATGGTGTAGTAATATTTGTATGGTGTAGTGATATTTGTATGGTGTAGTATATTTGTATGGTGTAGTATGGTGTAGTATATTTGTATGGTGTAGTGATATTTGTATGGTGTAGTATGGTTAGTGTATTTGTATGGTGTAGTGATATTTGTATGGTGTAGTATGGTGTATATTTGTATGGTGTAGTAATATTTGTATGGTGTAGTGATATTTGTCTGGTGTCGTAATAATGGTGTAGTAATATTTGTATGGTGTAGTAATATTTGTAGGGTATGATGTGATATTTGTATGGTGTAGTAATATTTGTATGGTGTAGTGATATTTGTATGGTGTAGTGATATTTGTATGGTGTAGTAATATTTGTATGGTGTAGTAATATTTGTATGGTGTAGTAATATTTGTATGGTGTAGTGATATTTGTATGGTGTAGTAATATTTGTATGTGTAGTATATTTGTATGGGTGTAGTATAGTTTTGTATGGTGTAGTGATGTAGTAATATTTGTATGGTGTAGTGATATTTGTATGGTGTAGTAATATTTGTATGGTGTAGTAATATTCGTATGGTGTAGTGATATTTGTATGGTGTAGTGATATTTTTATGGCGTAGTAATATTTGTAAGGTATGATGTGATATTTGTATGGTGATATTTGTATGGTGTAGTAATATTTGTATGGTGTAGTGATATTTGTATGGTGTAGTGATATTTGTATGGTGTAGTGATATTTGTATGGTGTAGTGATATTTTCATGGTGTAGTGATATTTGTATGGCGTAGTGATATTTGTATGGCGTAGTGATATTGGTATGGTGTAGTAATATTTGTATGGTGTAGTGATATTTGTATGGTGTAGTGATATTTGTATGGTGGTGTAGTAATATTTGTATGGTGTAGTGATATTTGTATGGTGTAGTGATATTTTTATTGTGTAGTAATATTTGTATGGTGTATTATTTGTATGTATGGTGTAGTAATATTTGTATGGTGTAGTAATATTTGTATGGTGTAGTGATATTTGTATGGTGTAGTGATATTTGTTTTGCTGTAGTGATATTTGTATGGTGTAGTGATATTTGTATGGCGTAGTGATATTGGTATGGTGTATGCATGATATCAAGGAAACAGTACTAATGTAATTAAACCCTGAGAAAGCGTTGATCTCAGCGTTATTTTGTTGTCTTTTCATTGCAGAAAGATGTAATTCACAATTATTGCAGCATCACTGGTTTACAGATCAAAGATACATTCAGATATAAAGTATGAGCCATCTTGTGGTCAGTTAAACTGATGATGTGTCCCCTTTGGGCGATAAACGTGCGCCACGGACAAGTTTACAAATATGTAAGCTCTGATGGTGAAAACTGCAATTTTCCCAATAGAGTATAAAAATGATATATTTGCAAACAACGATTACGAGCCTCGATGTTTTGGTGCCAGTTTGTTTCGATAAACAGAACATTTGGCCAGAAATAATAAAATGGCGGCCTCATGAACAAATTTGAAGAGGGACATTTGTAGTTTTATAGTTTTTATTGAAAATCATGCATGCCACTTTGTACTGTAGGAAGAATCTTATGTTTGTTAAGTAACCTTCATTGCTTTGTGCTGAATGAGTTTTCAACCCTTTGATTTTGATCAATATCAGATACAACTGAAGTGAATTGAGATATCGTTTAAATAAATATGAATTAGACTCACAATTAAACTTTGAAGAGGAAACCTCTCACTTAAATATTCCAAGTTTAATTTTATGGACTTCCTTAAACGTAATCCAAAAGCCAACATAACGAACGCAGTTTATATTGTTGGTGACATGTCATCGACTCGGTATTACACAGTGATTGTAGCGTTATTAATTTCCTTTACACTGAATAAGTTCAGTAGGGTGAAGATAATTTCAGTTTACACGAGAATTAGTTTCTCCAGCACTACACAACTCCAATGTCTTAAATCTTGTCACTTGGATTTGAAAAAAAACTTCATGTTACATGTAAAAGTCTTATATTACCCTGGACCTTTTGGTTAGTGAGATTAATTGATTTGAATATTCAATACATCTGATCCCTGTGACATTGAAAGCAAGTCAAGGTCATTTATTTGAATATTCTTGGTAGGTCCTTCTTTCTAGCATGCTACAGTCCCAATTTCAGTGCTCTGGGTCATTGGTCAATAAAAAAAGTTGTTTTTGATATTTCGACACATTTTACATTTTTGACCTTGAGAAAGGGCCAAGATTATAGAGGACAGTCTGTAATCCCGGCAACATGCTAAATATCAGTACTTTGGTTACTGAAAATCCGTGTGAAGATTTAACCCTTTTGACTCCTGTCACCTTTAAAATAGGTCAAGGTTATTAAATTGAACAAAATGGATAGAACTTCAATCATCCCATATCAGATCCATGCACTCTTGCTTTTGTATTTAGAGCGAAAAGTTGGCGCCGTATGGACGGGCGGACGGAGAGATGACGTGCCGTGACATAGTGTAACTTGCCCTTGTTGGCCTTGAGAAAGTTGATTTAATGAATTATGTTGCAATTTGTTGGATGTTAAAACGGTACAGTTTATTCATACAAAAACATAGTTCAAACGGTCCCACAAAACCATGATACAATATCTATTTCATGAGTTAAAGCGAACACTGTTCGACATTTGGGATGAAACAACTGCTATATTCCACGGACAATACCTACCTTTCTACTGACGTTCCATCGATAAACTGTACCTCGTGTAATGATACACGGATGACACACGAGTGTAATGATACACGGATGACACACGGGTGTAATGATACACGGATGACACACGGGTTTAATGATACACGGATGACACACGGGTGTAAGGATACACGGATGACACACGGGTTTAATGATACACGGATGACACACGGGTTTAATGATACACGGATGACACACGGGTGTAATGATACACGGATGACACACGGGTTTAATGATACACGGAAGACACACGGGTGTAATGATACACGGATGACACACGGGTGTAATGATACACGGATGACACACGGGTGTAACGATACACGGATGACACACGGGTGTAATGATAGCCGGATGACACGGGTGTAACGATACACGGATGACACACGGGTGTAAGGATACACGGATGACACACGGTTGTAATGATACACGGATGACGCACGGGTGTAATGATACACGGATGACGCAGGGTGTAATGATACACGGATGAAACACGGGTGTAATGATACACGGATGACACACGGGTGTAACGATACACGGATGACACACGGGTTTGATGAACATTCAGAGGTAGAGTTGACATTTGTAGAAGGTTTTAACTGCCTGAAAATGGTTTTAATTAAACTGTGTTCATGCGTTCCGTGTAAATCTCCTTTGTCTTCATTCACCAATTAGTGGTGTCAAACAGTCCAGAAATAAACAGCATTCTTTTCTTAGGTAGATAGAGTTTTCCAGTAACGAAAAAACCTTTTTCTCTGTAATTTGTGGAAATTTCAGAGCAACACACGAATAACATGTAATAAAACAATGTTTGCACCAAATATCAACAATAACATATCTTGCGCTGTAAAATTGTGTGATACTCGGTTCGAGTCAAATAGCTTGGACGGCAAGGTTGTCTGATACTCGGATCGAGTCAAATAGCTCGGACGGCAAGATTGTCTGATATTTGGATCGAGTCAAATAGCTCGGACGGCAAAGTTGTCTGATACTCGGATCGAGTCAAATAGCTCGGACGGCAATGTTGTCTGATACCCAGATTTAGTCAAATAGCTCGGACGGCAAGGTTGTCTGATACCCAGATTTAGTCAAATAGCTCGGACGGCAAGGATGTCTGATACTCGGATCTAGTTGAATGGCTCGGATGGCAAGGTTGTCAGACACCCGGATTTAGCCGAATGGTCCGGATGGTGAGAATGTTTGAAAATCTAGACAAATAAGGGTGATGAATATATTGTAAATTTAAACAATGACGTCAGATTAAAGTATTTACATTGTCTTTATAAAAGTTGAGATAATCTGCGATGTTAGCACCATCACATGTTTTATATCAGATGTCAGCACAGTCGACCCAAGCACAACGTATAGCCTGTGGGTCGGCAATGTTTAAGTACTCGTTACCGAAAGAGATCGACGGCTTCGCGTCCGGGAACAACTTCCTCTCTAGAGCTTCTAGCTTGGCCATAAATGCCGGAATTATGTCAATACACGGACGCTGGTTCTTCACCAAATTGAACGCCTGTCGTAAAAGGAGATTCTCCTGGCACATCATATACTGAATTGCAGCAGCTGCTGCTCGTGATTTGCCATGATAACTGTATACCAGAACGCGCTTCCCACGATGCCTTGCAGCAACAATGAATTTGTTTATTTCGGGGAAATATGCTTCAATATCTTCTGTGTCCTTATCCTCCAATTGGATGATGAGTCGTGATCTGAAGTGCTGGTTTGCTTCCGGGCAGATACAAGGGCAGTGTAGCTTTTTGGAAGAGGGCACATCTGCTGCGGCGCAGTTACTAATGTCCAGTAAACAGTCGATTTTAAGCCGACAGAGTAACGGCTCATTGTAGGCCGCTTCCACGCTCCCTATAAACAGATGATCCAGAAGCTGGGACACGTGATCGTTACGGTACATTCTGGACTGTAGATGTTCAGACAGTCTTGTGCTGCTGCTGTGAACTTGAGCAAGTCTGGAGTTGGGCGGTACGTCTGAGAAGCTCCTGGTGAGGGTTTGTTTTACCGAGCCAAGCTGTGTGACTCTATGTAAGCTTTGAACACTTCTACTTTTACTCCGCGTAAGGCGCGGTTTAGCTGACTTATCTACTTCCGGTTCACTGGACTGACAGTCTGTCGACTTGACCGAATGAGTAAAAGATGTAGTGAATAATATGTCAGTTTTGTTAACTATCTTGATCTGTGGATTCGAGTTATCTGCTGTGAAGTCTGGTATAGACAAATATTGCACTTCAGTCACGTTTTGCTCTTTTTCACTTACAGATCCACTGCTGTCCTTAACTACCAACTTCTGAGTCGATGTGCCTCCGTGTAGGTTCCTCCGATTGGCTTTAATGGAGCTTATGATATTAAGCGGAAGGAGGTGTTTCTGAACAAGGTCTGCTATCTTATTTCTAGGCTGGGAAGAGGATGAAACTGGCTTTGTCTCTGGTGAGTTCTTTTTGAAAAAGAGGTCTTTGAGTGAAGCAGACTTTTGTATTTTGGGATGCAACTTCTGAGAAAATAACAAAGTATTTGGAGTCGTGGATGTGCCAGCAGCGACGGGATTGGCGGATGAAGATGCTGGGAGTAGTGCTTTGGTCGGACGAACTACATGGTCTTTATAATGGTGATTCTCAGTAGACATTCTATTACATCTGCAATGAAAAAAAATCACGGTTATTAATCTAACGACAGTAAATGTACACGATAAACATATTACCAAACAGTTGGAATACTACACTCTCGTACTTACAATTGTTGAAAAACGCCGTCTACAGTGGCTAATTGTGGGCAAACAAATATTCTTATCTCATTATAACATCTCGCTATAACGAATTAGTAGTAACGAATTAGGAGAATAAGACCAGATGTTCCTAAAGAGTAAGCGTCTTCTGCTTCATCGACGACACCCGCCATGTAAATTGTGTTCAGTATAAATACATAATATCAGGTTCTCACATAAAATGTATAACCACGGAGTAACAAAGAACATCCAACACGTCAAGTTTCATATCACACAAAGAAATGGAATATTTCTCAATGAGATCCCTATGATGACCGTTAAACTTCCCCATAATTTTCATCAACCTGCATATTTTGAAAATTTACAGACAAGACGTCATAAATATATCTGAAAGTGAAATTAAACGACTTTGGAAGGTCTTTGTAACCTTTTTTAATAAGTTCTTTGGTAAATTCGCCTCGTATGAAAACAAAAACAAGCCAGCCAACAGAAGGCTTGATGTTATGTATCATTTCAATATTCTAGAGACAAAGGATATATTTTGCTCCCAGAAACACCATTTACGTGATAGCCGACATCTTTTGACTAAGGAAAATATCGCCTGAGCCCTGATTAATATTCCGGGTCGCCAAGGTAATGATAAAAGACACTGACCCATTTTTGAATTCTTGATATCACTTTTTTTTCCAAGAAGTGTAAATCTTTCTGAATAAGTAAAAACTGTTCAATATATATATGAAACAATAACACGAAAACATATGTCAATCGTATGACAAAAACAGCCAACACGTTTGGCCCATCACCTCATACTTTATCAAGCGAGAATCCCTCGGAACTTAAGGTCTCCGCGTTTCTACAAAAAACTTCTGTTAAGGTCAATTTTACAAAATCTCAAAAGATCTATTCTAATTGCCAGTAGTCGAGCGTTAACAGTCTGCATTTTTGACTTCTTCTGAAAACCCCTGTGAAAATTTTAATGAAATTTGCAGAACTTTTCCAACGCCCATGACCAATTTGAATGAAATTGATGAATCATATGGCCCCATTTCCCCCAGGAACTTTGAGTGCGTTGCCAAAGGAGGTCAAATTGACTCAGATTTTTAAAATTTTCATCCAAGATCCAGGTATGGTAGAATCAAATGGAACAGTCTTAAGGTTCTTCACCAAAACTGTGAATTTCACGACCAAAGGGTCTCAATGTCCCCTGGGGTAAAGCTTACTATAGTTTATAAATGAAATTATATTTTTGAGCAAACTTTGTATAATTTCTATTGCAAATAGTTCAAATTTAAAATAATAAGTATGAAATGACAGTATGACGATATACACATAACAATCCTGAATAATTCCCAAGGTCTGATGGACGTTGCCAAAACTGGTCACCGACTGTGATTTTAAAAACCTTCTCAAGACCCAGATATTGTAGAATTAAATATTCTAACTGGATTACAGGGTCCTGGACTGATTTACTGACGTTAAGAATCTCACGATGCCAGTGTCTCACGTGATACCCCAGCTATAAAGGATACATGTATCTGGGCATATTTTGTTTTATTGCCATTGGAAATAGTTTAACCTTTGTTAGAATTAGTGGTATAGGATGACCTTTCTCCTTGAGGACCTTTCACCTTATTTCATCTTTTTTGAGGATGGGCGATTCCTGTAAAATTTACAAAATTGGTTCCGGATTTTGAAAAGTAGAAAATGTTAATTGTTTATGAACGGACGACGCACGACGACGGACGAAAGACATTTGAAACTTTGTCGAAGGTTATATCAAAATACTTAAATAAATATATATGTTATAAGATAGCGTTCTTCATCAACGCAGTTTCGGTATACATGTACATTCAGGAGCTGACAAAAACCATTTGGTTCGTTCATACATTTTTCTCATGCATGAGGACATCAACGTTCCGGGTAACGCTATCTTTGATTTTTTACGTGTAACAAGTGGTTGTAAAGGCCTCAAGATGTAGTTTTATAGTTAAACGAAATTAATTTCTATCAATATGAAAGTTTATTTTTCGTAACGATCGATCTACAAACTCTGTGATGATGTCCTCGATGCTCATCAATAATGTTTGGCGTTCAGAGCGCGTGAGAAGGCGTTGTCAGACGCCCCGAGCAGTTCTTTTCTAATTACATATTGATTTACCGAGCTACACATGGAAGGCCCCAGACGCATCAGGTGAAGAAATACATCGACAACAACGAAAATACTACATAAACAGAACAAGAAACGCCAACACAGTGTTATAAATTGTTATCAGAAACGGTGAAATCAAATCAAACTTTATCTCTTTACAGTAATTGCGGATCAAGTTTTTCAAACTTATAATAGTCACTTTTGTTGGCCCGGTTGGAAGCACGCGATAGGTCTTGTGAGAGGAGACCGGAGTACACGGGGAAAACCCACGTGGTCGGTAGGTGATCCCATACCTTTTCATGTCCATTCTAGGAATCGAACCCCGGACGGCTTGGTAAAGGGCAGTTGTGTTATCATCCGACCACCCATCAGAAAGGAAACCCAGTAAAATGTTGAGATTATTACGATTAAATATTTACAGTTTATATGACGACATATATATATATAGGCCGTTCAAAGAATTACAGACTCTTCACCAGTAAGGAAGTAAGCATCATGAACTTCAGACCCCTCACCACCAATAAAGTACATGTAGTTCCGCGACCTACAGACTTCTCACCACCAATAAAGTAAATGAAGTTCCGCGACCTACAGACTTCTCACCACCAATAAAGTACATGTAGTTCCGCGATCTACAGACCTCTCACATCCAATAAAGTACATGTAGTTCCGCGACCTACAGACTTCTCACTACCAATAAAGTACATGTAGTTCCGCGACCTACAGACTTCTCGCCACCAAATAAAGTACATGTTGTTCCGCGATCTACAGACCTCTCACCACCAATAAAGTACATGTAGTTCCGCGACCTACAGACCTCTCACCACCAATAAAGTACATGTAGTTCCGCGACCTACAGACTTCTCACTACCAATAAAGTACATGTAGTTCCGCGACCTACAGACCTCTCACCACCAATAAAGTAAATGTAGTTCCGCGACCTACAGACCTCTCACATCCAATAAAGTACATGTAATTCCGCGATCTACAGACTTCTCAACACCAATAAAGTAAACGTAGTTCCGCGATCTGCAGACTTCTCACCACCAATATTGTACATGTAGTTCCGCTATCTACAGACTTCTCACCACCAATATTGTACATGTAGTTCCGCGATCTACAGACCTCTCAACACCAATAAAGTAAATGTAGTTCCGCGATCTACAGACTTCTCACCACCAATAAAGTAAACGTAGTTCCGCGACCTACAGACTTCTCAACACCAATAAAGTAAATGAAGTTCCGCGATCCACAGACCTCTCACCACCAATAAAGTAAACGTAGTTCCGCGATCTACAGACTTCTCACCACCAATAAAGTAAATGTGGTTCCGCGACCTACAGACCTTTCACCACCAATAATGTACATGTAGTTCCGCGATCTACAGACTTCTCACCACCAATATTGTACATGTAGTTCCGCGACCTACAGACCTTTCACCACCAATAAAGTAAACGTAGTTCCGCGACCTACAGACTTCTCAACACCAATAAAGTAAACGTAGTTCCACGATCTACAGACTTCTCAACACTAATAAAGTAAATGAACTTCCGCGATCCACAGACTTCTCAACACCAATAAAGTAAACGTAGTTCCGCGATCTACAGACTTCTCAACACCAATAAAGTACATGTAGTTCCGCGATCTACAGACTTCTCGCCACCAAATAAAGTAAATGTAGTTCCGCGATCTACAGACCTCTCACCACCAATAAAGTAAATGTAGTTCCGCGACCTACAGACCTTTCACCACCAATAATGTACATGTAGTTCCGCGATCTACAGACTTCTCACCACCAATATTGTACATGTAGTTCCGCGATCTACAGACCTCTCAACAATAAAGTAAATGTAGTTCTGCGATCTACAGACTTCTCACCACCAATAAAGTAAACGTAGTTCCGCGACCTACAGACTTCTAAACACTAATAAAGTACATGTAGTTCCGCGACCTACAGACCTCTCACCACCAATAAAGTAAATGTAGTTCCGCGACCTACAGACCTCTCACATCCAATAAAGTACATGTAATTCCGCGATCTACAGACTTCTCAACACCAATAAAGTAAACGTAGTTCCGCGATCTGCAGACTTCTCACCACCAATATTGTACATGTAGTTCCGCTATCTACAGACTTCTCACCACCAATATTGTACATGTAGTTCCGCGATCTACAGACCTCTCAACACCAATAAAGTAAATGTAGTTCCGCGATCTACAGACTTCTCACCACCAATAAAGTAAACGTAGTTCCGCGACCTACAGACTTCTCAACACCAATAAAGTAAATGAAGTTCCGCGATCCACAGACCTCTCACCACCAATAAAGTAAACGTAGTTCCGCGATCTACAGACTTAAATGTGGTTCCGCGACCTCAACACCACCATAATGTACATGTAGTTCCGCGATCTACAGACTTCTCACCACCAATATTGTACATGTAGTTCCGCGACCTACAGACCTTTCACCACCAATAAAGTAAACGTAGTTCCGCGACCTACAGACTTCTCAACACCAATAAAGTAAACGTAGTTCCACGATCTACAGACTTCTCAACACTAATAAAGTAAATGAACTTCCGCGATCCACAGACTTCTCAACACCAATAAAGTAAACGTAGTTCAACGATCTACAGATTTCTCAACACCAATAAAGTACATGTAGTTCCGCGATCTACAGACACCAAATAAAGTACATGTAGTTCCGCGATCTACAGACCTCTCACCACCAATAAAGTAAATGTAGTTCCGC